TGACAGCGACAGACACAAAAGAGGAGAAAAGAAACGTAAATCTCTGCCCTCACACAGCATATATTCTAATGAAAGCAGATGATGAACAAGAGAAACAGCTGGTAGCTGGTGAGTGTGTATGGGGACAGGGAGATGTAATTTTAAATATGGTGGCCAGGAAAGCATTCCTGAAGACTCTGCTTCTGTTCCTTGGGTTTTATTTCCCTCCACTCTAGGAGCTTTTCCTGAGGCTTGCATTTTCCTTTTCTTATTTTTCCTTCATGGTATATCTGCATAGTTGCCAAGCCACTTCCTTACATCCTGCTCATGTTTAACATGGGAAGTGATATCTAAAACTTGTTTGCTCTCATAAAGTATGAGTTATTTCTCCTTGACACTCTTCCTACCTAATCTGGTATCAACTGGTAGTTCCACCCTGTTCCACCTCAGTCCAGCCCAGCAACAGTTTGATGGCTAGGTGTTACCCTCACAATCAACATTCTGTAATATGAGGGCAGAGGGCTAGAGGAGAAGGAAATCTCTTCTGAGAATGAGTAAGTCTTTTCTGAAAAATCTGGGTCCTACACTCTCTTCTGAGCATATTCCTTTGAATGTCTCATGCTAGTGCTCACTTCACCAGCCAGAAAATTACCCAACTCCTGTGAGCTTCAGTGCCTTTCAGTGCCCTGCAATGATGAGTCCTGGGAGAATCATCCAGCCTCTGCTGAGGCCCCAAGGACATCACATTCTCAAGAACTTTTTTCCTTAGCTTTTTCAAAAAGTAACTTACACTTAATCAGCATCACTCCAGACTACAGGGTAATACTGAAAATTTGCAAGATTTAATTAACTTATCTAGTTACTGCTTCCAGGATTCAGGTAGGATTAAAAAACATCTCAGTAGAATCATCTCTTTCTTTCTTTAGCTGTTTGTAGTTTGTGCTTGAGATCAAACTTCTTTATTTGGTCACACCATTGAAATGTTTTCCCCTGAGGGAAGATGATCCAATCCATTTCACCGTCTTTCTCAAAGGTCTCTATTATGGGTTGAATTGCATCTTCATGAAAAAGATATGCATAAATCCTAATCCCCAGTACCCTGGAATGGGACCTTATTTGGAAACAGGATATTTGCATACGGAATCAAATTAAGATAAGGTCACAGTGAATGAAGGTGGGTCCTTAATCCATTATGATTGGTGTCCTTTACAAGAAAAGAGAATTCTGGACACAGACACAGCAGAAGGC